GTCCCTCCCCTCCTCACGCCTCACCCTTCCCAGGCACCACCTCCAAATCTCTAGGAATTTTTTTAACACAGCTGGCAACCTTATAACACTGGACTTTTTTATCACTAGCAGCAAGAGGACATCACTGGCTAGAAGATCCTTACTTTAATGAGTGTTTCATGGTGGTGGCTGTAAGCTATGGAGATGTGAGCAGAGGCAGGTTATCCTGATGGCCAACAGCAGCAGAAATCTACATTTTCCTAGACTTTTTGCATGGCTGATGACCAAGTTTACTATTTAGTGGGCACTGATTACTTGAAGATATTTGATTAAAATATCCTTGGAACCTTTACAGTGCAGTCCCAAGTATACACTCAGTGTCTTCAATGAAATTGTTGGAAAGTGCCGTCAAGTCACAGCTGACTTGTGTTGACCACAGCTTTTCTTCTTCTTCTAGAGGAACACACCAGAACGGAGTTCCAGAACCTCTTTGACAAAATGCTTTTTAAAATGTTTAAAAGTTCATGAGTTTTCAGTATACAGATTGAAAACTTCATTTCCCTCTTGAGAGTTCTGGCACATCTTAAAAAAAAAAGCGCCTGACGGTGACCCCTCATGGGGTTTCCAAGGCAAGAGATGTTCGGAGGTGGTTTGCCGTTGCCTGCCTCTGCATCACGACCCTGATATTCCTTGGAGGTCTCTCATCCAAATACTACCCAAGGTCAACACCTTGTAGCTTCTGACATCTGACGAGACTGGGCTAGCCTGGGCCACCCAGGCCAGGATATGAACTTAAAAGGGTGTGAATCTTTTTTAGGTTTGCACTATTAGATGGCATGTGGCTTCCAGTTACAACCCCATTTATTTGGGTGGGCACTAGAGGGAAACAATCTGGCAGCTTAAATCTGTCTTGGGGTTGCCCAGATTTGTATGGTCCTATCGTTCCTTCCGACTAAGCCAGTTGTCTGAAAGGCATGGCTTTGCACAGTAATGGCAGATGACTACAACATTTCCATAGGAGTAGCTGGAACGGAACTCTTCCCTGGGATCGGAGGAATTCTCTTTTATGGTGTCGTATGACAACTTGGGAAGGAATATGGGGGTGGAAAATATATGAGGAGGAAGAGGGCAGTTTCAAGAGGAGTCAGAAGGGAACCTAGAACAAGAAAATTTTGTCCCAGAGCCAAACGGCTACTTCACTGCTCTGACTCCCCACTCTTGGCCAATATGCTTGTCTAGACAAAGAGAAGTAAAGGGCTATGTCTGGACTCTCAGACAGGAACTCCTAGGATTCTGAATTAGGAAATTAACAAAATTTCACGTGCCCAGACCTGAATCAACTGGATTAAAGGAAGGTTCATTTGATTAATCAGTGGGGACCAATTTTAATTGGTATGGGAAAATATGAATCCACATCATTTAAGGCCACACCATTTTAAAGGATGTGTTGGTTTGGGTGTGTAAGAGGGAAGGAAAAGGAAAGTATGCGCTAACAACAAGTGATAGCTTTTATTTCTTAAAGTGTACAGGCTAAAGCAACTTCTGAAATAGGAGATCCATATCCAGATGATTATATTTATATTTTAAAAAAACACAGACTGTGTTTTATTTGTCTTTGATAATCTTTTTCAAACTATCTGGAAAACATTTTTTTTATGCGGTGGGAATTTTCAACTGGATTACAGCAGCAGAATGGGAGAATGGGAGGTCACCCCCCAGTACCCTTTTCCCAAACGAAAACACCTTGTCCAGTTGCTATTTAGCCTGCAGCGTGGAAAACCCAAGTTTCAGTGGTCTTGTTTTTTACTTTGTGGGTCTTATAGCAACTTCAGAAGTGTGTAGACGACAATTTGATCGAGAATTAGAGATCTCTGATGCCAGGTTGACCCTAAATTTTCTGTCATGAGTCAATGGTTCAGTTTAGGCATCACACACAACTATGGTTGATTAAACTAACTATAATTAGTGTGAAGGTATGAACTTTGGCCATTCTGCTATGTTTGGTTAGGATTTGTCAAAGTGGGATCTGAGACCGGAACCTGAAGTTGGTTTATTGGTACTAGTTAGTCTTAACCATGGTTTTGTCTGATGTCTATAGCTGCAGACATCTTTGGCTCATCCTGCCTTGTTTCCGAGCAGTATCTTCCCAGGCTATAGAGAGAAGTTGATTTGAGTGGTCGTCTGTGAGCCAAATCCTGGTTTCACAAACTAGACTTAAAATAAACTATGCTTTGGTGTGATGTCTGAACTGAGCCAGCCTTTCAAAAAAAATCACTTATAAATGTGGTTATCCCAAACTCATTTATCAATTCCTTGTTTAATTGCTTTGAGGGCAGATAAGAGTTCTTTAATAGGCCATAGCAGAATCGCAGAAAGGTTATTTTGTAATGAAACTGCTGAGCACAGAAGTTTTTTTAAAAAATGTCCCAGTATCCATTTGGTGGTGCTGATACAACACACTCTTAATTTTCAATGCTCTATAACTCAGTTTTGACAGAATTGTGTAATACTTCGTGACTTCCCTCCTCTGTTTCACCCAGAGGTCAACTTGTTCTTCGCTGCCAGCATCCTCTTCTGTGCTGTCAACCACAAAGCTTTTGTGACGCAGAGGAACCCCCTAATTCCTCTCTGATCTAGTTATTTAAAAATCAGTTTCCGTGCCTCAGCATCATCAAGGAATGGACCCTGTTAGGGACTGGGCTATGCAGGTGTGAGATCTAAAAAAGCTTTTCAGCTGGTGAAAAAGGAAGGAGGGGGTTTACTTTTGCTGCCTACCTCTGCCTATACTGAGAATCAAGGTATCAAAGCCACGAGCTGCGGTAGGGATGGGAACTGGGTGAGACTGAGGCTGATTTCGCACTAGAGCTGCCTCGATGTTGCGCCGCCGTTTGCCCCGATACTATTGGTCAATTTCACACCCGAAGCCGCGGGGCTGCATTTGACCCGCGGCTTCACCCGATTTCCTCCGCAGCTGGGTGGATCAGTACTGTGGTTTGCTTTTTAAATAAAGTATCTCAGAACTTTAAAGACAAAAAGGGGTGATTACAATCCATATCAGTCACTTGCTGGCTACAGCTTTACAGGAGGAGTTACATGTGTGAAACAGTCTTCATGGATAAAACATGACACACAGAAGGCTTTGTGTAGCGTTTCAGACAATGTTCTTCAACAGAGACAGTTCATCTGGGTGTCATAAAAGAATGTGCTAAAACCCCAAGTTTTTCTACAAAAGCTCAGAAAATATCTTTCCTCCCCTTTAGACACACACACTGTTTGTTCAGTGACAGGTTGCCATGTGGCAACCCATGTACAAACCGGCTCCCCCCCCCGTGCAAGCACAGTAGTGTATGTGCCATTTGATGCTTGCACCAAATTCAACATATGCAACCTGCACCCTCATTCTCTCTCCAATGACATTGAACACTACAGCATCAAACGTGTGGATTGTCCTCAGATACTTCCTTACTTGTACAGCTCCCTGTCTCACATGTGTATTAGAACCTTAGTACTGAGGGGGTAACACAACATTGTGCCTTAAATAAAAATGGATGTGATGAGCCTCCATGTTCATCTGAAATTTTGATTTTTTTTTTCAAAATCCCAAATACAGACTGATTTTCCATTTCAGAATTCAAATGTAGTGCCTAAGTTAAGAGCCCTACCCTCAAGGAAGTCAATGAAAACCTAGGTGTTGCCACTCACTTACTACATCTGTGAACTAAAATATTTGTTGGGCTTGATTCATTTCTGTAGTTTCGAGAATCAACTAAGCACTCAGTCATGTTAACATTTCACATTTTATTATTTTAAATTGCTCTGTAATGTATTCAGCCTGACATGCCCGGACTTGCCCGGGCTGGCCAGGCACAAACCGTCTGTAGCTTGAGTTGAAAGACAAAGGATACAAAGGATCCTAGCTGGCCCAATCAAAGGGCTAGCTTTCCAGCCGGGAGACCAATGGTCACCCGGTTACTGTAAATAGCCTATTAGGAGTAGGGTGTGTGTTTATGGGTACTTGGTGGCGGGTTTTCTGAACGCATATAAACCGGCCTGCGAGCTGGTCAGTTGTCTTTGTCCTGAACCAAATAAAGGTATGCTTAGCTGAAATCACTCTCCGTCTGCATACTTTTCACTGGCGATGAGGGTGGGATTCACGACCCCATGAACAAAGACCCGGATGCCAACACGAGCACTGCCTCGAGCACCGACGCCGAGACCTCCGGGAACCGCGCTGCTTCGCATCCCAGCTCTCCGGCACCCACTCATCACCCCGCTTCCGGCTCCGCTCCGCACCCTGCTGACCCCGAGAGAAGCAGCGCCCTTCTCAACGCTCCAGTCGCCGCCGCCATCACAGGGGACACCCAACCACGTGGCTGCAGCACAATGGCGACCCCTCCGAGCAACATCTCAACTCATCACCCCGCTTCCGGCTCCGCTCCGCACCCTGCTGACCCCGAGAGAAGCAGCGCCCTTCTCAACGCTCCAGTCGCCGCCGCCATCACAGGGGACACCCAACCACGTGGCTGCAGCACAATGGCGACCCCTCCGAGCAACAT